TTTTATGCCGGGCCTCCAAAAGGACATTCCCCGCAGGTGGCAGTCCGGGGAGTCAAATGTAAAAAATATTTTAGCACCTTAAAAGGGCCAAACTTCCTCTAACAGTCTGTTCCCCCTGGGGGCGCTTTTAGTCACCTCCCCCGGTAGGTACATCCTCCCGGGAAGCGCCTCAAATGGGAAACTCTTGGTCCCCGGCCTTAAAAATTTTTTTTTGCCAAACTTCCCCTAGTCCTCACCCTTTATAGGAGATAAAAAATTCCCAAATCTTTTCCGGGTGCAGGTCTATTTTTTTCCCCCCCTTCCCGGGCCCCATTTTTCCAAGGGTTACACAACCATCAGTCCTCCCCCCATCCAAGGGGGACTAGGTGTAAACCTAGACCCCCATCCCGTTCCCTTCCCGCCCCAAATCCAATTTCCCGTCCAAAATCTTGTAGACTTCAAACCCCCCAACATCTCCAACCTTACCAAAAATCTCCCCAAAATCCCAACATCTTTTCCCAAACCCCCCAAAAAATTTTCCAAAAATACGGCCTTCCTTTAAACCCCGGGGGAAAACCCCTAAGCAACTATTTTCCCCCCCTTTTAATTTTCCCCCTTGACTATGGAAAACCCCCCCCTAATTTTTTGGCCTCCTCACGACTACCCCTTTCAGTCTATCATAAAGCTGGGTGAAAACTCATCCCACCTTTTCTAACCGTTCCGTATCTGCCACCCCCCCTCTGCCAAAAACCCTCCCCTTTGGCCCCCCATTTAGTTCCCCCACCCCCCTCTGGGCCCTTCCCCCCAATGGCCCCCATTTAGGTCCCCCCCCCCCTTTGCCAACCTCCATTGGGCCCCCATTCAGTGTCCTCCACCCCCCTCTGCCAATCCCCCACTGGCCTCCATCATGTCCTTTCCCCCCCCCCATGCCCCAAAAACCTTCCCCTTTCCCTTCGGTCTCCCATCTTTCCAAACCCCCGGCCCCAACCGTGCCCCCAAACCCCTCCTTTCCCCTGGCTTCCCTTTCCGCCGGGTAATTTTCCTTTAAAAATATAAAACCTTTAAAACCCGGCCCAAAAAAACACCAATTTTTGTTCCAAAAATTATAAATTTGGTTTGTCTCCCTCCCCCACCCCCCCTGCTCCCACCCCTTGGCCCCCTCCCCCCCAAAAGGGGCCTTCCACCCCCCCTTTCCCAACCTACCCCCACCAAAATTTCCCCTTCCCACGAGGGGAGAAAACCTCCCCTTCAAAGCCTTCCCGGAACAAATGGAATTTTTAAACCCCCCACCAGATCCCCCCAAGGGAACCCCTTTTTTTACCCTCCCCCCCCAGGGGGGCCGGTCGGGCCCTGAAAAACCCCCTTTTTTGGAATTGCCTTTTTTTTCCTTTTTGGGAAAAAGCCCCCCGGACCCAAAATGGGCCCCCTTAAATTTCCGTTTAATTTATAAACTGCATATTTATTTTTTTTCCCCGCCCCCGTGAAAACCCTTTTTTATAAGGGCCAAAAACTCCCCTTGGGGAATCAATTTGGGGGGGATTAAAAAGGGGCCAACGATACCCCGTTTCAACCCGTTCTTTGGTTCCCCCGGAACCAAGTTCAAAGCACCGGCACCTTTCCCCAGAATTTTGGTTTTCCCCAAGCCCAAAAAAAGGCCCCTTCCCGGTTTTGGGGGGTTCCCCCGAAAAATTTCCACCACCCTTTAAAAAAAGGGGCCTTTTGCCCTTTTGGAAAACGCCCCTGCCCTTTATGGGTTTTCCAAGCCCTTTCCCTTTTTTTGATGCTTTACTTTCTTTCCCCTATCAATTTACCCCAAATTTCCTTTAAAACGCCTTTTTCCCCCTTTCCCCCAACCATTAACCCTTTTTTTTTGGCCCATGTACTTAAAAAAGGGGGACCGGTCCCCGTGCAGGGCCCGGGGGTTTTCCCAAAAAGGACCCCCCATTTTTTCTGTGCCCCCTCCCCCCGGGGGAGCTCAACCCGGCCCCCCCCGGGAGGGGCTTCCTAATTTGAACAAAAGATCCCCCCGGAAAGGGAACCTCCCCCCCTTTTTGGGAAAATCAAAATTTACAAATTTTAACCCACAAACCCCGGCTCTTTCCCTCCCCTTCCCCGGGGGGGCCGGGGGCCCGCCCCCTTAAAAATTTCCCACCCCCGGAAAATCCCGTTTTATTTTTAACCCCCCCTAACCCAAAATTTTGGAACCCAAAAATTTTCCGGGGAACCCCCAAAATAAAAATGTTTCGTTTTATAAAGGACCCGTTTTCTTGCCTGGGATGAGGGTCGTAGAAAAAAACATCAACCTTCACACCTTGGAAAACCCATTTAACAACAACCCTTAGATAAAGGAAACCTTCATTTTAAAGGTTTTTTTCCTGGGGGGCCGGTTGGGTCCCCCCGGGAAAAAATTCCCCCTGGGGAAAGTTTTGCCTTTGAAAGGTGGAAAATACCCCGGGGTTTTTTTCCCAATAATAATGGGCGGTTTTTATCAAAAGGGCTTTTTAGCCAAGGTCCTTCTGCCATGGGGAACTTTTTATTGGGGTCACGGGCACCAATTCAAAGTTTTGGCTCCCCAAAAAAAAAAAAAATCCCACCCGGAACCCTGTTTTTCCTGGGGTTTGGGTTTAAAAAAAATTTAGGGGAATCCGGTTTCCCTTTTGGTTAATTTTTACCAGGGGGTGGATTCCGTTCCCCCACGTCACACACTTAACGGGAACAAGGGCCCAAACCCTAAACAGCTGCCGGAGGGGACAGGGAGGGAAACTGGGGGAAAACAAAAAAGTTTTTCCTCCCCCGGGCGGAGAAAGGCCGAGCCCCCCAGTCCCACCGGGTAACCCAAAACCAGGCCCTTTCCCGGTCCGTTTGGGGGCCCCCAAAAAGTTTTACCCCAGGGCCTTTTGGGGTTTTGGTAAAAGGCCCCCGGGTAACATTTAATAACCTTTTGCTTTTTCTTTTTGGGGGTTTTTTTTTTCCCTAAAATTAATTTCAACTTTGCAAAATTTTTTTCACCCATTACAACCAAACCCCCCCGGGGCCGGGCCCTTGTTTTAAAAAAAAAGCCTTGGGGCCCCGGGGGTTTGGGGCCCCCTAAAATGCCCCGGGGCCTTTTTCGTGCCGGTTTTCCCTGGGGGGTCCCCCCTGCTTTTATTTACACGTTGGGATTTTTAAAAGGGAAACCCTTTTTAAAGTTTTTTTCCCCAAAAAATCAAGCCTCCCCCGGGCTTTCTTTCCCAAACCCATTGGGTTTTTCCCGCCTTATCCCCCTTTTTCCCCGGGGCCTCAAAAAAATCGTCCCCCAAAAAAATTTTTCGGGAACCAAGGTCCAAAAATTTGATAGTAGGTTTAAAGGGGAAAAAAAAGGAAAGGAAAAAACCGGTTAAACAAGGAAAAAGGGTTTTAACAAAAAAATTTTGGGGGTTGCGGGGTCCCAAAAAAATTATCAAGGTAACAACCCTGGCCAAGAAAACCCGTGGTAGGAAAACCCTTTTAAAGGGAGTTTCAAGGGAGAAAAATTTGGGATAAACCGGGGCGGACCGCCAAAAAAGGGGGCCCCTTTTGGGAAATTTTTGGGGATTTTTATGGGGTGGGTTTTCCCCCCAAATAAAAAAATTAAAAAGGACCCAAGGGAAAACTAAGGTGCCCCCCTTTTTGCCCCCCGGCCCCGGGCAAAAAACCCCCGTTTCCAAAGGTTTATCCCCCCCTGGATAAGAAAACCAATTCTCCAAAACAAGAATTTTAGGATTTTGGCTTAAATAAAAAAAATTCTCCCTTTTGGGAAAAGTTTTTAAAGGGTTTTTTTTTTTTTTTTTTCCCAAAACAAGGTAAACCCCAAGGGATACTTCCCCTTGGGGAAGGAAAGGGGCGTCCCCACTTTGTTTGCCCAACAAAAGAGACATTCCGGCCATTTTTAAATTTTTTCCCAAAACCCATTCCAAAACCAAACCCCTCCAAAGATTTTTTTCCCCCACTTTTCCCGGCAAATAAATCTTTGGGGAAACTAGCAGATTCCTTTAAGGCCTCGTTGACATGGGCACACTTAAGTGTATACCGTGTGAGGGTTGTGTTTGCCCGTATGGGACGCAGAAGTTTTCAAGTGTTCTGTGCATCTGCATCCAGCAGTCCCATTTACGTCAACTGGGATGCAGCAACTGCACGGACACAACGGCAGCTCCCAATGTGACATCTGTGTGGGTGCAAGTACCTGAACTCACACTGCATTCGGGGGCATGCACCTGACCCCACATAGATGTCAAATTGGGAGCTTCAGCTGTGTCTGTTCAGCTGCTGCTTCCCAGTTGATATGAATGAGACTGCCTGCACCCACATGCATGGAACATTTGTCCACCCCATGCAGACAAAACACAGACCTCATGCAGGAGTACACCTAAATACACCCAAGTGAATGAAGCCTAAATATATTAGAAGTGGAGGCTCCTTTAGTCAGGAGTCTATGTTGTTCTCCATATGCAAGATCACCAAACCCAACAAGGATAACACCACTTGGTATAACTATAAGCTCATTCCCTCATAAACATAGATATGAAAATTCTAACTAAAATTTGAGCTTCTACTCTAAACGCTTCAGTTGACCACTGAATTGAAAAAGACCGAATAATTAGTAGTCTTCTCTCTGTCATCCAAGGCAGCGATAATATTAGAAGAATAACCTCACTTACATACATGGGCAGAATACATAACTTCTTCACCATGCTTCTATTCACATATATCAAGAAAGCCTTCGATTCCCTTTCCTGGCCAAACCTGTCCTATGTCTTACACCAGCCATTCTCATCCAGGGTTCCATGAAACCATAAGGTTCTTACAGAGATTGCTAGGGGTTCTTTGAGCAGTGATGGGTGGATCTGTTGCCCGATGGTGCCCACATAGTTCAGGTACCAACACCACTCAGCAGAACCACTGGAATGGGAGCAGTGAAGCTTATTCTTTCTTTTCTCAGATAAGCAACCATTGACACCAGTCATCATATTCGCTGTCCGTAAGGGGAAGATTCATCCAGCTGTTCCCCAATGTATGGGGGCTCTACACTGACCATCAGTGGAAGGAACATTCTTCTTACCGGCCACCAATATAAGAAACATTCTTCTCACTCTTCCCTAATGTATATGGGTTCTCTACAATGACCACCAGTGTAAGGAGTATTCTTCCCAAGGATCACCAATGTAAGGAGGATTCTTCCTACTGACCACCAATGTAGAGAGCAATCTTCCCGCTGATCACCAATGTAAGGAGCGTTCTTCCCAATGATCACCAATGTAAGGAGCGTTCTTCCCACTGACCACCAATGTAAGGAGCATTCTTTCCACTGACCACCAACGTAATGAGCATTCTTCCAATGATCACCAACGTAAGGAGCATTCTTCCCACTGACCTCCAATGTAAGGGACATTCTTCCCACTGATCACCAATGTAAGGGACATTCTTCCCACTTAACACCAATGTATGGAACATACTTTCCACTGACCCCCAATATAAGGAGCATTCTTCCCACTGATCACCAATGTAAGGGACATTCTTCCCACTGACCCCCAATGTAAGGGACATTCTTCCCACTGACCCCCAATGTAAGGGACATTCTTCCCACTGACCCCCAATGTAAGGGACATTCTTCCCACTGACCCCCAATGTAAGGAGCATTCTTCCCACTGACCCCCAATGTAAGGAGCATTCTCCCCAATGATCACCAATGTAAGGAGCATTGTTCCCTCTGACCACCAATGTAAGGAGCATTCTTCCCACTGACCCCCAATGTAAGGAGCATTCTCCCCAATGATCACCAATGTAAGGAGCATTCTTCCCACTGACCACCAATGTAAGGAACATTCTTCCCACTGACCCCCAATGTAAGGGACATTCTTCCCACTGACCCCCAATGTAAGGGACATTCTTCCCACTGATCACCAATGTAAGGGACATTCTTCCCACTGATCACCAATGTAAGGGACATTCTTCCCACTGACCCCCAATGTAAGGAGCATTCTCCCCAATGATCACCAATGTAAGGAGCATTCTTCCCTCTGACCACCAATGTAAGGAGCATTCTTCCCACTGACCACCAATGTAAGGAGCATTCTCCCCAATGATCACCAATGTAAGGGACATTCTTCCGGCTTAACCACCAATGTAAGGAACATTCTTCCCAATGATCACCAATGTAATGAGCACCCTTCCAATGATCACCAATGTAAGGAGCATTTTTCCCAATGATTACCAATGTAAGGAGCACTCTACCCACTGACCACCTATGTAAGGGGCATTCTTCCCACTGTCTCTCCCAATGTATGGGGGCCCTATATTGACCACCACTGAAATGGGCATTTTTCTCACCGACCACCAGTTTAACAGGACATTCTTTGCACTGGCCAAGTGCAAAGAAGCTCTCATTGACTACCAATGTAGTTTGGCTGATGTGCCATGACCTGAAGACTTATCCATTTTTAGAAAGTGTTTCCTGTGAGCTGAATATTATTTTTAAGGGTTCCTACATGGTAAATAAAAGGTTGAGGAAGGCTGTCCTAATCAAATGGGGCTTTGACCCACACTTTAGAAATTGGATCTCCTACATTTACCAATCTCTGAGAGCTTTTGTCAGATGTTCTGGATTCCAGTCTACTTTTAATATTACGAGAGGGACTAGACAATGATACCAAAAAATGTGTTAGTGTAAAATCCCAGCAATATAACCAAAAAGCTTTCAGTTGTATATTTCGGTCCTTACACCTACTGCTGCTAACTATTAGAATTCCTGGAAATAGAGGAGATAATACGGGCACCTACATGCATGGAACATTTGTCCGCCCCATGCAGACAAAACACAGACCTCATGCAGGGGTACACCTAAATACACCCAAGTGAATGAAGCCTAAATATATTAGAAGTGGAGGCTCCTTTAGTCAGGAGTCTATGTTGTTCTCCATATGCAAGATCACCAAACCCAACAAGGATAACACCAGTTGGTATGACTATAAGCTCATTCCCTCATAAATATAGATATGAAAATTCTAACTAAAATTTGAGCTTCTAGACTAAACGCTTCAGTTGACCACTGAATTGAAAAAGACCAAATAATCAAGTCTTCCTCTGACATCCAAGCCAGCAATAATATTAGTAGAATAACCTCACCTACGTACATGGGCAGAATACATAACTTCCTCACCATGTTTTCTATTCACATATATCAAGAAAGCCTTCGATTCCCTTTCCTGGCCAAACCTGTCCTATGTCTTACACCAGCCATTCTCATCCAGGGTTCCATGGAACCAGAAGGTTCTTGCAGAGATTGTTAGGGGTTCTTCGAGCACTGTCTCCCAATGTATGATGTAAGTCAATATTATTTTAAGGGTTCCTACATGGTAAATAAAAGGTTGAGGAAGGCTGTCCTAATCAAATAGGTCTTTGACCCTCACTTTAGAAATTGGATGTCCTACTTTTTACCAATCACTGAGAGCTTTTGTCAGATGTTCTGGATTGCAGTCTACTTTTAATATTACGAGAGGGACTAGACAATGTTACCAAAAATGTGTTAGTGTAAAATCCCAGCAATATAACCAAAAAGCTTTCAGTTGTTTATTTCGGTCCTTACACCTACTGCTGCTATTAGAATTCCTGGAAATCGAGGAGATAATCCGGGCACACCGATAGACCTTTATTCAACTGATTTCCATGAAATCCCCTCCAATCCTCGGCACGGCACGGCAGCTGAACTCTGCAGGTAGCTGAAGCCGGCCCTGAATGACAAACAACATTTATTATTACAAACGGAGCGGAGGGAAACCGACAGACCGTCGTTCAAATCTCCTTCGAGTTGGAGCAGCTGTACGAGCCGACTACAGCCTTCGAATGAAGTTGTTTCCTTGGTGACTGGGGAGCGCTGACAATAAAGTTTATTTGTTCCCGTCGTATTACCAGATATTTCTTAATAAAGCGTCTTTTTATCTGGAGGAGATCATCGCTGTCTGCTCTGCCCTCTGACGCATCATCTAACAAAACAATTTATCAGTCAGGCTTACCCCCCGCCGCCCTTGGAACGCCGCTTTGTGCATCAGATTGTTACAGCGAAATGCTCTGGAAGTTATACAACAGTTGTTAAAGCTGAACTCCGGACACTAGAACTTTTATTAAAATACATTCCTCAATAGCTGGATATACAATGGTCAGCCCTAACATGACAACCAGCCAGCATCACCCGTCAAGGCATGGACACCACTAGACCTCTAGGTATGCTGGGTATCTGGCACCAAGCCATCAGAAGCAGATCTTGTAAGTTATGAGGCTGGACCTTCATTAACAGGGATGGGACAAGGGGTGGGCAGGACGTCCGGCTGCCCTGGTATTAGGGTATCGTGAGGTGGGGGGGGTGCCACAAGGAGATGGGGGGGCTTTGTGTTGGGGAGAGGGAATTTGGAGGGCAGCAGAGAGGTAAGAATTGTTCTAGGAGGGGAAATTTGTGTGTGTGTGTGCTAGGAGTGGTGATTTAGGGGGATTTGTGTTGTGAGGGGGGGATGGGGGAAAGATGATTTGTGCTGGGGGGGGGGGATTGTGCTAGAAGAAGTGATATGGTAGAGAGGGGGAGGGGAATTGTGCTATGAGGGGATGGGGGATGTGTGCTTGGAGGGGAAATTTGAGTAGAGGATTTGTGCTAGGAGGGGTGATTTTTGTTGGGGGGGGCACATTTGTGCTGGGGGGATTTGGGGGGATGGGGGGAGCAAAGATTTGTGCTGGAAGGGGGCATTTCAGCAGGGGGGTGTATTTGTACTGGTAGGAGAGAGATTGAGTGCTCAGATTCTTTTTTGGGGGGGATTTTTGCTGACACACAATGCTTATACATCTTGGGGGGGGGGGCACAGTTTGGCATGTTCATTCTGGGCTCTAGATGACCTTGTCCTGGCAATGTCCATGGATCAAACTTGTTTTTCAAGCACACCCCACAGATGCTGAGTTGGATTGAGATCGGGAGAGTGTGGAGGCCTAGTCAACACCTCAAACTCGTTGCATTCCTCAAATCATTCTTGAATTCATCAGACCAGGCCACCTTCTTCCATTGTTGCATGGTCTAGAAGGCGAGAATAAGTGGGTGAGGGGTAGGCATTAAAAGAGACTATCACTGTGTCCTGAGTAGTCTCTAACATCTAGACTTAAAGTGAAACTCCAAACCAAACATACCTTTCTGGTTTTGGATATAGTAGGGAGGGACTATAGCCTTTGCCAGATTCTATTGCTCATAGGAAGCGGCCAGAGCGTTTAAGGGGTTTAGACACTTCCCCTTCATTAGGGCTTAAGTATTGTATGAATGAATAGTAATATACACCAATCAACCACAGCATTATGACCACCTACATAACCCTTCATGCCATGGACTCCACTAGACCTCTGAAGGTATGCCGTGGTATCAGTAGCAGATCCTTGAAGCCCTATAAGTTGCGAAGTGAGGCCACCATGGATCGAACCTGTTATTCCAGCACATCCCACGGATGCTCCACTGGATTGACATCTGGAGAATTTGGAGGGCAAGTCACCACCTCAAACTCATTGCATTCCTCAAATCATTCTTGGATTCATCAGATCACGCCACCTTCTTCCATTGCTCAATGGTCCAGAAGGCGAGAATAAGTGGGTGAGGGGTAAGCTTTAAAAGAGACTATCACTGTGTCCTGAATAGTCTCTAACATCTAGACTTAAAGTGAAACTCCAACCCAAAACATACCTTTCTGGTTTTGGATATAGTAGGGAGGGGTTATAGCCTTTGCCAGATTCTATAGCTCATAGGAAGCAGCCAGAGCGTTTCAGGGGTTTAGATACTCCCCCTTCATTAGGGCTTAAGTATTGTGCGAATGAATAGTAATATACACCAATCAACCACAGCATTATGACCACCTACCATAACCCTTCAAGCCATGGACTCCGCTAGACCTCTGAAGAGTATCAGTAGCAGATCCTTGAAGCCCTATAAGATGCAAGGTGGGGCTCCATGGATCGGACTTGTTTTTCCAGCACATCCATCAAAGGTTGGATGAACATTATCAATTTACTTGATCGGCTCTCCTCTGACCTGAGTCCTTGAGCGAAGGAGGTGGTGGATGTGTTTTTTCCAGCACATCCCACAGATGCTCCATTGGATTGATATCTGGAGAATTTGGAGGCCACCTTAAACTCACTGTGTTCCTCAAACCATTCTTGGATTCATCAGACCACGCCACCTTCTTCCATTGCTCCGTGGTCCAATTCTGATGCTCATGTGCCCCATGTAGGAGATGTTGGCTGTGGACAGGTCTACTCTCTTAGTTAATGTGGTGCAAGCCACGTCTGATGGTGCAAACCAGGTCTGATTGTGCAGAAAGCTTAGCTTATTCCCCGGAATTGGGTCTACATACTTCTCTGCTCAACCGAAGGTTCACTGTATAAATGGTATGCACAAGCAAACTGACATCAAGAGAAGAGGAACCTTGATGGGTTTTGTTCAAAGTGCTTATTTACGCGGACCCTCACTAATAAGCACCCATCAGGATTCTGCTTCTGCTGATGTCTGCATACCATTTATAATATAAACCTATGGTTGAGTGGAGATCTATATGGACCCATTGTTCGGGATTTTCATTGTGTGTCTGGGAACCAGGCAAGCTCTGGGATCTACAGTTTCTCGTGCTTTGGGGTATGTAGAGCCGGCAGCAACCTGGTTAAATCCAATATGGGCCATCCTTTCTGTTTTTATGAAGCAATGCTGAGCTGAGGCATGTCACTTCTTACATGGAGTCAGAGACACTTTTGCACTTTAAAGAAAAAAATGAAAAAACTGGGCTTTTTTTTTAAGTCCATCAATTTTTAGTAACGTGTACAATCCAGGAAGCCGGGAACAATGGTGAAGGTA